ACTACCTTTGACAGTGCCAAGGAATTGGCACAACAACTCATCGACCATCGTGCCAACCATGACACTACGATAACCACCCTTGAACAAGCAAGAGGAGGGAACAACAAAAGGAAGTTCTGGGACAACAAGAAGGACCAACCAGCCCATGACTTCACTAAGAAGCAACAGATCGTTGCTGTTCATGCTGCCACAACCCACGCCACGCCAGCACCCATAAATCGATACGTTGGAACCCTTCCGAAATGCAACGAGTGTAATTTCCATCATACTGGGGCTTGCCGAGAGATGCATTGCAAAAATTGCAACAGAAAGGGGCACACTGTCCATTTCTGTAAGGCACCAGCACGACCCATCAACCAGGTCCCCGACACTGGAGTTAGCCCAGCCTGTTACAAGTGCGGCGAAACGGGACACTTTAAAAGGGACTGCCCAAGTGCACGAAATGTCGGTGATGGTGGAAGGGTGCTCGCGATCACTGCCGGAGAGACCACCCCGAAAACCGCCCATAAATATCAGTACGTGTTTCTGACATCGACGTTTAATTTTTTTTTACTAAATCTAGCATCGATTAAAGTATACCAACCATAAATCTCGAGAAACACGACAAAACCCAAATAAGTCTTACCTCCTATATAAAAACGCAGGGTTTTTACTAGTGAATCTATGATAGCTAGTGTAAACATTATGGTCATATATCATTAAGATTCTATGGACTTAGAATGTGTCATTCCACCTCATTTCCTGTTCCTTGTTTGGTTGTGGGCTTAAGGCGGGGTCACCCATCCGAATGCCCTTGCAATCTTAATGATATACGACTAGTTTACACCAAGCGATTATAAAAGAACTGGTAGGACTTATAATGCAAATTTCGTCACAATTTGTTGAAACATTCGTAATGCTGGAACTCGCTAACTACATTATAAAATATTCATAGTAGTAATACCAAGTATAAAGCAGGGAGCATAAAGGCACACATTGAATACACTATCATTCCAAAACAATAACTCCTTTTAAATCGACTCAGGTCAAGTTACAATAAGAAATTCCAGGGGTCATCATTTAACACCAGGCGGATTGTTCCTCACCATAATCAATTTCTTGTACCACGAAAAGTTCCCCCATATTTCCTCCAAATTCTTGAAGTCCCAGTCAAAACACTAATTTCAGGACGAAATTCTTTCTAACGGGGGGATGATGTGACAACCGTCAATTTTTGGCCAAGTCAAAGTCAACTAAAGTCAACGAGTCAAACCGGTCAACTCATCTAACCCTTGTACATTAGGGTTTCCATTATGTTTCTTATTGAACAACTCGCAATCCTAATACAAAGAATCACTTAGAGTTTTCACGTGTTCGGAAATTCTAAACCCTAATTAGGGCAAGTGATGAAACTATTCGATAAAACATTATTCCTTAACCCTCAGGGGCATATAACAATCATAACGAGACCTAATGAGGTTTACAAACCTTGCGTTACAAAGCCAGATACTCAAAAAGGTCACAAAAGAAGTCTCTCCCAAATCTCTCCAAGTATGTGAAATCTCTCCCAAATTTCTCTAAGTGTGAGAAATCTCTCCAAGTGTGTGAAATCTCTCCCAAATCTCTCCAAGTATGAGAAATCTCTCCCAAATCTCTCTCAAAATCTCTTTTAACTTTTTGTAATCTTTCGGGTCATCCCGACACTTAACCAGGTCAAAAACCGCTTGAAACGGGGTAATATTTGGTAAAACAGCCTTAATAGACCGAAGCCTCCCTTTAGGAAGCGAACCCTCCTAAGAACTGAAGGTCCCTATAGGAACGGAACTGCTGAAGAACCGAGACCACAAGGACCGAACCCGAAGCTCCTGCGAACCGAACCTCCCTTCGGACCGAGCCTCCCCTTCACCTTCGCTCCATTTTGCCTTCGGGCTATTTCGGGGCATCTCACCTTCGGTCCATGACCAAAAGGGACCGAACCTCGGCCCACAACCGAGAGGTCTCGCAGAATGGCCTAGTTCACCCGGTTTTCGACCACAACTTCATTTTAGGCCCGTTTTTCATTATTTTTGCGTGAGATTTTCACCCAAAATCATGTTTTAACATATAAAACCCCATACTTCATGAATAATCACGTTTTTCAGTGCAAATCTTATCCAAGAAGAGTGGGTGAAGTACTTGAGGTGGAGTGTTGACTTTACTTTAGTTTATGACACAAGCAACCACCCACACCCACTCCATGACCAGCCCACACCCCCCCACCATACCTGGTCATTCATCGTCCTTTTCCCATCATTTCCCAACCCCATTCCTTGTTTAAGGCTGAAATCTATCCTCTCTCCTAACACTGTCTCTCATTTTCTCATTCTTCCACCAAAGATCAAACACATTTTCTCTCTCAATTCTCTCACTAAAATTCGAGATTCAAGGGCCTTCTTCCAAGCTTTTCTTCCACTTTTGGTAAGTATATTCATCCTCCATATAATTATCTCACTTCCTTCTACTCCAATCATAGTTTTTCTTACACAAACTCCATCATAATTGTGTTAGATTCTCGAAATCTTCAAGGCATCTTCTTAGTGTTCTTGAGTAGAACACTTCTTTTCTTCAACATCCATCCACTAAGAACACACAAGGTAAGTTCATACCACTACATTTTCATGTTTTCTTCAGTTTTCAGGGGGGGGGGAATACAAGTTAAAACACCAAGAACACAACTAAACTCAAACAACAGCTTTCATCAGAAAAGTTGAGTCTTATTCACGGACTGTTTTGACTATCTTAAACTTAATATCTTTCAAACTGTTTAATATGCAAATAGTTCAGCTTCATACCTTTAAAATGAATACTTTCGCATCTCCATACGATATTTCTACGATTTATGGTGATTTTCACAAAACTGCCTATCATTTCAGAAACGAATTCGGACCAGTCTGTGAATATGAACATTTTAACACAAGTTAAAGACTTCTAAAAATTATAATAAAAATTATGAATAAACTAGACACATTTTGTGAACTCTCAGAATTTACGGATTTAGTTTTTGACTTCGTATGATTTTTCTATAATTTTTCTAAAACAGTGTAGAAAGATTAAAAACTAGTTAACAGTTTACAACTTTCATAACACTTTGTAGTATGTTGAGCAAAGTGTATAACCATAATTTCTAAATATTGAATGTATTTTCTTGTTATTTTATCATCATAAACTGAAATTTAGTCATTCATGATAAGGTTTACTCATTCATTTCGAACACATATAATAAACTTCAATAAACATAGTTTATGGATTTTTACTTCATGAAAAAGGTTTTACTCTCAAAACAAATGGGTTTTTCATATCCTACGTGATAAACTATAATAGTAATAGTTTAAGGATTTCATATCACTAATTTATTCAGAAAAAGTGATTTTTCTTCCTCCACGGAAGAGGTTTTAATATCAAACTATGTGTAAACTAGTTAACTTAGGTTGTGAGGCAATTCTCTCCCCGTACGTTCGAGTACGGGATCCCAATTCCTGTAAGTTATATCCAGAGTCTCTTGTAGGGAGAGCGTGATAATTGTGTATAGATCTATATTGGGTTTGACACCCCACACCTTGCTGCTAGCTACAGCGGGACCTGCAGGTCTACGGGTGACAAGAGTCATAGTATCTTAACGTCTGGAAAACGTTGTGCAGGTTATTTCTCGTCATAGTATGGTTATAGCGACTCACATAGGTAGTTAACTATCTTTCAAGTTTACATGGAAAATTTTACTTTGAAAGGGGTTCACTTCCAAATCAAAAAGGGTTTTATGCCGATTTAAAACCACTTTTATATCTTTAAGTATGAAAAATACTTGTTTACTTTCGGTCCTGGGATTTAGGACCACATAACTTTTATAAGGAAAATATAGGATTTTCTTTGGAATCATATCTCTGTTAAAACTATATTTCATCTAGAATTGTTAGACTTCAGCTATAATTGCTAAGTGTATATGCTAGAGTTATATAAGAATCTAGTCATAATCGACTTAGAATTGGTGGGCCCGCCTTACTTCCTGTTCCCTGTTTGGTTGTGGACCTAGGGCAGACCCATTATATTTGACGGTTTATTTAACTTAAATTTTATATAACTTATATACACTGGGCGATTATAGAAGGAATCTATGGGTCTTTCTAGGGTTCATTATCGCATAACATAGAAGCATTCATTTCACTTAATAAAGAAAATATTGGATTTTCTGGAAACATACTTTGTCGCTTTTACAAGGAAAATGGTTTCTTTCTCAAACAAAACTCTTATGAACTCACCAACTTAATTGTTGACACTTTTTCAAAACTACTTGTATTCTCAGGAAATCAGTGAAACAGGAAAACCAATAGCATTTTGAGGATGGGACGATAAATCGTCAAAATAGTTCATTTTTGTCATCATAATGTAATTGATTTTGAAACATGTAAACTTATTCTATGGTGTAACCTTTTCAATTATATTTATGATGGTTGTATTTACTTTGAACACTATTATACTCGTTGTTGTGATACTATACATGAAGTCCTCCACCCCGGACGTTTCCGCCATGCTTGGTTTGGGGGTGTGACAATAAGTTTAAAAAAATGTTTGGATACTTAATAAGGACTTTTAAAATAAGCTTTTATTTACTTTTGAAATTGGGTTTTTAAGAAATAACAATTTGTAACTTTTTGAAATAATTTATAACTAATTAGGATTAAAAAACAAACAAAAGACAATTTTAAATCAAATACTTTTTAACTTATCCACTTTTACCACTAAAAAGTAATTCAAATACTTTTTAAAAAATTCATTTCTCATATTTATAAGTCAATAAATCATTTTAGAAAAAAAAAATTTAACTTGAAAATAAAATCTGAAATACTCTCGTGACTTCAGCTAGTAAAAATGTTCACCAAAAGGAACATGCAGAAAGGATGTAATTGGAAAAAAAAAATATTGAATTATTCGCTTTTGTAATTTACTGATTTACCCCTTTACACAACGATGATGTTAAGTTGGAGGACAAGTTGACTCGATCGAATCACCCATCACTTTCAAAGATCCCTCTTTTACACTCACATCAGAACTCAGAAGAAATCAGTCAACAAAATCTCTCAAAAGAGACAATGGGTGCATTTCTGAAGCTAATCGACGTAATCCTGTTCATCGTCTTCCTCGTAATCGCAATTGGAGCTCCATTTCTCGATGCTCAAACCTGTCTTCCTTCTACTCTCTTCCCCGACATCCTCATAAATCTCAATACATGGTACACCCACCAATTTGGAGATTACTTGGTCTCTGAAAAACCCCATTTCTTCGTTGGCCTTATTTGGCTCGAACTTCTCTTCGCGTGGCCCCTAGCACTTGCTTGTCTGTATGGGATCGTTGCTGGGAAATCTTGGTTGCGCATCACCTGTCTGTTGTATGGCGTCTCCACTTTGACTTCTATGGTATTCTCAACTTCCCTTTCTTCGTTTTTTCCACTTCAATCCATGAAAGAAAATGGAAATTTACAATCTAGATCTAGCATCATTAGTAAGAACAAATCCATAATGGTGAGGGTATGAACTTGGGGATGATGTTAATAAATGTGATCCCATCACAATGTTAGCCATTTTATCAATGTCGATAAAGTTATACACATGATTTGATCCTTTCCTTTTTCTTTCAGGTTGCAATATTATCAGAACTTGTTGGATCAGGGAAAGCATCAGAAAAGCTATTGAAAATGTACTTCCCCTTCATGGGATTTGCTGTTTTAGCCATCTTGCGAGGTTTTCTACCACATTCTCCAAAGACAAATGCAATAAGCACAAAATCCGCATCAGCCAGAAAAAAGAGAGCTTGAATTGTTTAGTAAAATGTTTGTGGCTTTTGTATCACTTAATTTGTTAAGAACCATTGCCTTTTAGTAACCTAGTTTGAGTTAATCTTTAAAGTCAGTGCTTATGATGTTGTTGTAACAAGGGATTAAAATTATTATTTTCACATTGTTTTTGATGAATTGTGGAGCTCTTTTTGAATGACATTACTATAATTGGTATAATTTTCACATTGTTTCCATATTGTTCACGACATTATGTTTTGAAAGATCTACCCATCGCTTGTATTTCGATGACATTACTATAATTGGTTATAATTTCTAGAGTACAATATTGTTGTAATTGGAAGAAATGATATTAGAATAATGTGGTAAGCTAACCAAGGAAAGTATGATGTTCTTTCTTGATTTTTAACAAAAAAAAAAAAAAAAAAAAAAAAAAAAAAAACTCACAAACCCGAGGAACTTTTAGCGGTTGGTTGTTCCAAATTGCCTTAAAAGAACATATAATAGAAAACCCACCAACCGCCCTTCCTGTTCAAATCTTGTGGAGTTGTGAAGGTGAACACAGGTGACAAAAAAGTTATAAATCTGCATTTAGCTCTCGTTTATTCTACCCTCTGTACGATTTAGAAGGCTCAGAATGCTTTTGTGTACAGGAATGAGAGGAGAGTTGTTATGCTTCTTGCGGATGACATTAGCATTACTACTTTTAATTGGGTTAAGAATAGATCCTAATTCATCTTTTTGATTGGTCGATTTGGTGTATGTCTCCTATTTCAAACTTATTTTTGTAATGTGTTGCCTGCTGTTCAAAGAAAAAAAAAACACTATTCGTGGACTATATTCAAAACTCCTGGCAATTAATTCCACCTTCAAGAACACATGCATCTATCAACAAAAAAAATATTAACTACTTTTTTATCGGTAAAAAAGTGGGAATGAAATGGTAGTGAGATAACATGGAATGAGAAAAAGATACCAACACACCTTAATCATTCATGATAAAACGTTATAAAACTTTCATAATTGGTTATTGACAAAAATAATGGTTACCCAATTAGGTTAGTACTTAAACACTCCATAGAAACTCATCATGTCTCCAATTAACAAACATTTTTCCAGAGTGATAACCTAGATCATGTTAGACTTGTACAAGGTGCTTCATCGGTAATATGTATGAGTATATGATGAGTTACAATGAGACATAAGTAAACCCATATATACTGTAATACCCCATTTTCGTCTTACAATATAAACGACTAGTTACGTAAATAGAAATATTTGATAGATGACTATTTAGGATAAATAATCTTGATGAAAGTCATAGTAAATGTAAATAGTGTGCGACACAAAAACCGAAATTTACATCGGTTGACTGTTAGGAAAAACAGTCTAAAAGAGAGTTGAAGATCTCATCAATACCTATCTGTCGATATAAAGATAGTCGAAAACAGATATCGTATGAGAGAATTATGATTTTTATACGGACTTTAACAGTCTAAGCCTATAAAAATATAACTTTAAAAATAAAGTAAGAATTAGCCAACAGAGTCTAAATGAAAGTTGTAGATCTCGTCAATAGCTACGTGTATATATAAAGAACGTAAAAAACGGAGCTCGTATGAAGAAGATACGAATTTTTGAAGATTACCCGTCGACGTCACGCACGCATAGACGTGACACGTGCTTCTAGAAGCCAGCTACGTCGAACCAATCTGAGCATGCCACATTTCACGAGGAGGGAGGCCGACCAGAGTCAGGGTGTGACGCGCTCTTGGTCTGGGCGTGGCGCGCCTTTCCCGATTTTTGGCTCTAAATAGCTGGTTCCAACCTCATTCACATCCACACCACTTCTTAACTCCCTCTCAACTTCTAAGCCCGGTTTTGAGGTCTTTCTTCGGGATTTCATAATATTTTAACTTAGTAAAGCTTTGGGTATCAAGGCTCGACTAGTAGGATCTCTCAAGTCGGAGTTCTGCAATATAATTTTTCGGACTTTTGTTAGGAAAATCTATGTAAGTTGAGCTACACTTATATCGCTTTAAGTGTAACTTATAATTATATTCATAGTCGTTGTTATGAATGTATAAATAAGATTTATCATTAATTCTAGTTGTAATGTTGATTGATCTACTTACGGGGGAGGTGTCTAGAGTCACATTGGCTTGGTTGTTGGATTTCAGAAAGGCTATATGTCGAAATGGTCATGCCTCCTAACTATCCTACCTAGCTGATCCTTATTTGATAGAACTCTTAGTATTCATTGGGATTTGTGAAAGATTTAGCTTTCATTACCAGATTGTCATAGAGATTAATAAGTAATAGTATTATAGGTTAATACTCGTTAGGCGTGTTGCCCGCCAGTGGGATCGCCTAGAAAGCTGTTAATCGCTTGAGAAATTGTCCAGGTGAGTTATTTCATTATACTATGTATTACAATATACATCTATGTATGTTATGATAGAGAGCTAGTAGAGTAGAGCTGATAATATAATCTTTATGTGCTTAAGTGGAAATATATATGTACTAGTAGAGTCTAAAGTGCGGTCTCTATGTGCGTAATTGTTATGAGATTAGATTTAGTTTGGGGATGATGGCGGAATGATAAAGAGGTCTGGAACCTATAGGCCCACGTGTTGACGAAATGACATGTAGGTCGTAAGTACATATAGACTCGTGTTGACGAAACGACATGTACGTCGTAAGTATACATAGATCCGTGTAGACGAAATGACATGTAGGCCGTAAGTACACGTATACCCATGTCGAAGACAAAATGGTTGGGTCGTAAGTCTAAGATACACATATTATTGGCAGATCGTGAGCCATTGTTTGTATGCATGTATATGTATTGTGGTATATGGTATTTTGGGTAACACACTAAGCTTCGTGCTTACCCAGTTGATTATAATTGTTTTTCAGGTGCTTCATTGATTCGTGAGAAGGGCAAGGTTCAACTGTACACACGCGCATTCGCAACATGTTTCAGCATAATGTAATTATACTATGATATATTTGAATAAATAAAAAGGAAAAAATTTAGGTTGAAAATCGGGACGTTATGTCGTTGACTGAGAATGCTTTAAAATCAAAATCTTTTAACCGGTTTGTTAGGCGTGTCAGACCCAACAAATAAAGGGGTACGATATACTCCAAAATAACACTACTATATTGCACTAAAAGGTAGTACAAGGCAAGTAGGGTCGATCCACAGAGACACCGGAAAATTGGTCTATACCTCTTTACACAAGGTACTATGGTCACCAGTAGTAAAGAGATGGGTGTTAGAATGCAATGATTAAACAAACATTTAAAAACATAAGTAATCAACTAAATGAGTGAATTAAATGCAGAATTTGTAAGAACTCTAACTCTATGTATGACAACTTAGCAACGCGATTCCAAGACAACATGATATTTGCTCAATTCTATCTAAGTTGGTACTTGAAAGTGTTAACAAGCTCTAACACTTTCCATTCACCACATTAATTAACCAAAACAAGCTCTTTGATTAATCCTAACCTTACTAACCTAATCTAAACACGCTCTTAGAGTTAGATTGAAAGATTGCATTAAACTTTATGTGAATGTTCCCAACAACACACAATACTCCTCACAAGCTCGGGAGCGTAAGAGTGTGTGAATAAGATTTACACTAAATTCATTCAATGCAAATCAGTTTAGTGCTTGTTACTTGTTCAATTTCAGAAAACAATTACGGATTTTGTAAAAGAGATAACTTGAATGACCTAACCCTAATTTAAATGGCCAATAAGCATCACAATTAGAATCAAACATTCGATTAAAGCAAAATCAAATTCACTAGATAGAAATTAAAAGCAAACATCAAGTTATATGATTGTAATCATAACTAAGAAGTCAAGACATGAAGTTGGAGAAACTAGGGTTCTAGCCACACATGGCTAGAACAAGATCAAAAGTTAAAAAGATGGAAATAATGTGCAATTACAACTTATAAATACTAGAAATAATGTTTCCAAATGATTACTGATGAAACCCTTGCAAAAACCTTCGAAATCCCCTTACAAAATTTGCTCTGATATGATGTGTGTGTCTCCAAATTAGGGATGCGATTTAGAACCAGAAAACCGGACCGGAACCGGAATCGAACCAGAACCAAAACCGTTAGAACAGGAATATATAGAACCGGTTCCAGTTCCGGGTTTAGAAATTGGCTTTATCCGGGTTCCGGGTAATCCGGGTTTGGGTCCATCGGGTTCGGGTAAACCGAGTCTGAAAACCAGAACCGGTGTTAGGAACCGGAACCACTTTTAGGGCCGGAACCGGTTTTTGTGAAACGTTTAAAAGATGTATATCTCATTTGTTTCAACTCCGATTGACATGCGGTTTTTTCCAACATGTAGTTTAGAGTTTGTATATGATTTTAGACTATAAATTTGCCATTTTTAGTTTTATATTCATTGACTTACAGTCCCCCAAAATCGAGATATCAAAGCTGGAAGTTTTTAGTTTTTCAGTTTTTTTGTATTCAATGAAAGTTTTAAAACATGCATATCTAATTCGTTTGAAGTCGGACTGACATGTGGTTTTTTCCAACTTGAAGTTTACAGTTTGTACATGATTTAGACTATAACTTTGTCATTTTTGGATTAATATTCAATGATTTTTAGTCCTCCGAAGTCGGAATATCAAAACTGAAAATTTTCAACTTTTCAGCTATTTGTTTTTGTACTTTGTATTCTATGAAAATGTTAACACATGCATATTTTATTCGTTTAATGTCAGATTGACATGAGATTTTTTCCAGAGTGTATTTTAGAGTTTGTACATGATTTTAGACTATAATTTTGTTAATTTTGGTTTCATATTCAATGAGTTACAGTCCCCCAAAGTCGGGATATCAATATGAAAAGTTTCAAAGTTCAACCCACTAAGTAGTAAGTAATTACCAAAAGATTCCGGTTTTTTCGGGTTTTCCTGGTCTAAACCCACTTTATCCGGTTCCAGCCTACCCACTTTGATGTTTCCGGATTTTCTGGTTCTAGGCCCACTTTACCCGGTACCGTACTCGGAACCGAACCGGAACCGGTTCCTATATTCCGGTCCAGTTTCCGGTTCTACAAAATCTCGTTAACCGGTTACGGGTTTTCCGGGTCCGGGTCCATCCGGTTCGGGTTTAGACCCACTTTCATCCCTACTCCAAATGA